GGATTTTTCAGTTGCTTGTAAACAAGTAGGGAGTTCAAAAGTGAATGGGAAGAGCATTGCACTTGTTAATACAGTGGTGGGCAGTAAACCATGACTGAAGCAGCTTGCGAACCACGGGGTGGTCATCTCTAGAGAGAATTTCAACCTCGTCCAAGGAGTGACAAATTGAGAGTTGGCGTCATTTCTCCGCACTTTTGCAGCGTTTTGGGCCATTCCCTTCAATGTAGTTGCTTTGTCCGCAACTGCAACGGATGCGAAAAACGATTCCAGACGTGTCTAGCCGTGGCAACAGGCCTTCCGGCCTCATTATCTGATGCCTGATGGTTGCCTCCGGTCTCTGTGTAAATCCAAACCCAAATGGTGCGAGGAGGAGGAGGAGGAGGGCGGCAGCTTCCGAAATGTTCTTGACCTACGAAAGCGTTCGCCCGGACAGATCAAATATTTGGATGCCTCTCGTCGAAAAAGTGGCCATGATCGTTACCTTGGTGGCACCATCAGAATAATATCCTTCAACTACAGATGCTGCGAGTGTATCCGCACTGCCCCCGCAGTCCTCGCACTCAACACTGACGAGCGAACACGTGAACCAGTGCACTTGTAAGCCAGTTCACACCAAAACCGTCCAGTCCGCAATAAATAATTGCTATCTCGTAGGTGGACACCGTCTGTTTATTCTACTGCTGCCTACACCAACTGACCAAAAAATTATAAAAGCCAATCTACATCAAGAGACTGCCCCATACTACTGCACAGCGAACATGTCTGCAAATTATTCACTACTGCCACTGCAACGACAGCTTCCTCTCCTCCTCGTATTCTTCCTCATCCTCCTGCTGAATGTGCACTCCGCACAAGTAGCTGCCAGAGAGAGGAGTTGGCCAGATCGCCTAGAAGAGGGAATCCTCCAGAGAGGAGACGAGGATGACGTGCAATATGACCTCGAAGAGGAGGTGGAGGAGGAAGAAGAAGCGGTGGAGGAGCCAGGGCGTGCAACGAATCCACTCGCGGCTGCCGGCTGGTTTAGACGAGTTCGTGAACGCATCAGACGAATTCTGCGAAGACGCAGATGCGAAGAAGCACGCTGCCGACGGCCGGCTAGACGCTACCCCATCTTCACTGTGCCCTTGTAATTGTCCATCGGCCGATCTTTTTATATCTTACCTTTGTCACTTTCAAACACGCCTTTCCGAATAAAACCTTCTTCTCGTCCGGCAATCTCCTGCCTTTAGTCATTTTTTTACACCGCATGTCTGTGCCTCGGGCCGTAGCTATCGCCGAATCAGCATGGCCATTTTCAGGTTGTCTGAGAAGCTGCTCGTCATCTGTCCGCCATCATTAGACTTGATTATGCATTTATCAATGCCTTCCATTCATGATATTCCTCTTGACGGTAATTTCGAAAAGATGTCATGCATCGACGGAATTCGCAGAGCGCATCACCGAATTTTAACCCAGTTGTAGTGCCGAAGGTATAAACAGCGTCAAACCCATTTCGGGGATGCAAAGCAATATTGGTAATGACGATGCTAGCGTCTACAGCATTTGGCCGGACGTTTTACGCTTCTCCGGCAATCTCAGAACCATTCAGCTGAATGTTTACTCTCATTGTCGTCCCATCCGAGGCTATTTTTACCTCGAAAATATTGGTTCGATCAGGGCTGATATTACAAATTATGCTCTGATTACTGGCAGAGTAAAATATTTCATAACCGCAGATGGTGCGTGCCAACATCGTCACTGCATTTATTGATGTCGTTGGCCACGTTTTCGAATCACTGACGCAGTCGCCTCACTTGGAGTGCGACGATTTATTCATGACGGTTACGGTTCTACATATAGCTCTCACTGCCAGCGAAGGACCAGGTCTGGCTGCAATGTTGATATGTACATCCAACTGAGAGCTGCATCGTAAGTGGTTGGTAATACCGACGATAGACTAGAATTCCCATTCTATACGTACATGACCGTCATGGAGACTAAAGCTGCGAATACATCCCTGGCACTACAGCCTTAAACCAGTTCCCGGTTAGGAAGAGTAGAATCAGGATTCCAGTTGCATTCTCTATGCAATAAGTAGAAAGTAGGT